ATGCTATTACTTATAATAAGCTGGTATTTACATGAAAATGTATAAATGTAGTGATTTTAAATATTGTTTATTTGGGGCAATCAATACAGCGTATCGTGTTTTTATGCGTGTTTATAATGGTCTTTTACCTACAGCAAATATGGCTTCACCAAAATATAACTCAAAAACTCGCTTTTGCTTATATAAAGCTAATATATTTTACCGTATTTTGGAGCAAACTACTGACCATACTGTCACTACAAAACGAATGTTTCAGTTTCCCCTGCAGATCCACGGCAAAGTTTCGAAACGCTTTAATACCGTTACATTTTACATTAACATTTAGCCGATTGAAAGCCACATAACATAAAACTACGTTCCTTTTAATAACAAATTATAAAAATCAATGATTCTTTTGGTAAAAAATTATTTCCTATTATTTTCTCATATTATTTTCATGTTACCATGGCGACTATTATTATGTTGAACATGGAGTACTTCATGTTGAATGGAATTTCTATACTTCATCTGCTAAAAAAGGCGAAGGGTTGCTGCATGCATGCATTTCTAGTTTGAAGAAGTTTGTTCTGGTTGTCGTCGTCGTGTTGCCGTCGTACATGCTTAAGGTCCCTAATACCTCAATATGAACGTCCATTAAACATGGTTCAATTAACTCCTGAACAGAGAACATTCGTAATCAAAACGTTTTACGAAACAAATAGCTTGCAGCATTCTCGTGTTGCTTTTGGATTGATTAACTTTGCATAATTCGTGGAAGAATGTGATTTCGACCGACAATTTTTATTTGACGAGTATGTGGCCATTTCTCATCGCTACGGTTTAAAAAATAGGTACGCGACGCGTACATGTATCTGCGAAAAAACTTGATTCACATTTTGTATTTTCTTGAAAGAAACTGAATAATGAAGATGACATTGGACAATTGAAATATTTCATCACTTATTATAATGGCAGATAAGATTTAAAACAGGGTTGTACACAGCGGGGAGTGCAGCAGGGCAAGTGCTATCCCCCCCCCCCTGCACCGAGAAAATTTAACTATAAACTTTATAATGTGATTATGATTGTAACAGATAATTATGCAGTCAGGAAATAAAAATTTCATGCAAACAATATTCAAAGTGCAGCCAGCTATTTAGTAAACTGTCACCTGTCAATTCAATCCATACTCATCAAATTTTCAAAACTTTATTGTAATCATATGAAACAAAAGTTATGTCATTTGCTGTTTACACTTGCCAATGTTAACTGTTGAGTAACATACACAAAATATTTGGTGAACATGTCGAAGACCTATATGAATAATTGAGAATGTTTTGAAGGTCATGAATGAAGTATATAATTAAATTCCAGTTCTGTGCATAGTTAATGATATACCACACTGTTCGGTTTAACACGTACAGCGCATTCACACAAAAACAATCGTGTTGTGGGAGATTATCGGTTTGAGTAGAAGGTATCACAAGTTTAGTTTTGTACATTGTGTGCCATTGATCAAATCCACCATATAATATATGATTACTCATTGTAGCTGTTAAGTTATTTTCCATACTAATGAATTTAGGTAAGATTGTCTTGCAAGTTGGTTGTTCTGACAAAATTATCCAGCCAATATCCAGTACATTATTCTTCATTCTTGTATTAATCTCTAAAGAAAAATATTTATGTTAGAAAGCAAAATGACAATGTAATGAGGCTCGGGAGGGTGAGGATTTTTTTATTTGAAAATGTTTGTAAAAATTTTGTTTAATTAACTCTAATGTGTAAAACCAAAATGTATAAGTATTTTAACTGATAACGTCTTCAACCTTTGCTCTAACACTACATTTGATGACAGCTTTATAGTTGGACTGTTGTTTTGAACAGAGTTATGGAGTCAATGTACAATATACAGAAATACAGGACCAGAATTTAATTCAATATCTCCTGAGAATGTTTTCACTGTTTAAAATATTACAGAAGTCACAGAAGGATTGTTTTTAATACTGTATAAATCTTTTTGTGAACTATGTTGACAAATGGCTTAAAAGATCCTCGAAAATATCCAAAATTTTAACAGTGTAATATATTAATAAAACAATTCCAGAGTGCATTCCATGTAAACTCTACGCCGAAGATACGGCAATATTAACTATAGATAGTATAGTAAATATTTGCCGAACTGGCGAACTCATGTATTATAAAACTTATAAAATATGTGGGACATATATTTGCACAAATTTGGTATTTAAATATATAAGATGTGGTATTTGACTACTTACCAGATGAGGATAAGGTTCCGTGTTGATAAATAACTTCGGAATAATATCGCAAGTAGAATGGCGAGAGAAGTCAGAAAACAAGACAGCCAATTCAAGATAAATTGATAAAAATATCAAGATATTTTTGAAAGAATAAACACGATTTATACACGAGGCCTGACGAGGCTAAAGTATGCCCGTTCGCAGGTTAGATGCGGGCACGATGTAAACAATTGATGTAAACGAATCGCTGATTGGCTTAAATTGTCTTAAATTATATAAGCTCGTCGCTGAATGGCTATCTGTTAACATACGGTACGGTACGGTAACAGTACGGTACGTTTGCGATAGCATATATATCTGCTTCGCAGATACAAAAAGGTATCATAGAAAAGCTAAATAACAGCTCTTTCGTCCTATATAAAAATTGAATTGTTTAGCTAAGTTTATGATGGACGACAGCCTGTTGAATTTCCATAGCGATTTTTTGAGACACCCTGTAGATAGGAGTTACCCATCATACCTTGCGCGCTCAATGTTTAAAGTTTAAGATTTTTGAATTGGAAACTATATTATATGTTCGAAAAAAGGTTGTGCTTCAAAAATCTTAAACCTTGAACATTGAGCACGAAAGGGGTGATGGGTAACTTCCTATTTAGAATCTTAAACTTGGGAATTTTGCTTTGCAACAATGCTGGGAAATGTGATGAACACTTGTTATTTCATACATCCCTTTAATGTAGTTTCACCAAGATACTTGGTTATTGTCCAGACGAAGTTTACGGCAAATCAGCATACAGTTTCTTACATAAATATGACCTTAAGATTATCGCTGAAGCTCATTACAAAGACCTCCATAACAAGCCCTGGTCAACACCTGAAGCTATATGCCGGATCCGCGCGAAAGCTGGGCACTATGTTCCTGTAAGATCTACATCAGTTGTATTTCGCAATCCTTGGTCAAAAGAAGTTGATTATGTTTTCATAAGGAGTGTTGTTATAAGGTTAGTTAGTTATTATTACTTTAATCGGCACGGGTGTGCATGACGCGATAGAGATTAATCGGTACGCATATACGAGCCCGCGTGAGTTCTGCACGCCCTTGCAGAAATGTGGATACAAAATGTAAATAAACAACGTGAGAATTTCTATTTTCTGAGATCTTATTATACACCGAGCTCTTATATAAAAAAGACAAAGGTGAAATAATAATTAATCACAGTTTTTACATGCAGGTGTGAATTGAAAATTAGTATCAGAATTTAGTCTTACCGTTTATAACATGCAATATGGAGCGTACTTGAGAGCATATTTTTAATACACAATGTTTGTTGTCATTGAGCACTAGTGTAAAATTGACTACAAGAATATTAATAGTAAATTACACTTGTTAATTTTCGAAGTATTAATGAAAAATCACAAATTGAACCACAGGAGCGGATGTCTTTTCTATATATTAAAAATAAGTATTAATCAATCAATGATTGAATTCGGTTTTCGCAGGATTCGGCTTTGGTTCATGACGCGAACGTCGGATTGACAATTCTTCATATATTATGCTCAACCATCGTGCAATTTCTAAATTACATTTGACCCAGTTTTTGTAACTTCTTTCCTACCTCCTCCGCAGGCCATACAGCCCGTAATGAGTATGTCCGTTCGCAGGTTGAAATTTGAGACGAAGCCTTGCGTAGCTGTAAGGCCTGCTGAATATAAGCCTATTAAGCCATAGATTATAGATCATACCAGATGTCTCACTCAGCCAAAATTGTGTTGGCGATTTTTTATGAGCACGAATTGGCCGCCATTTTGGCAGTAAGTGTAATCCACGCCATGAAACGTGAGCAATCACGCATTTTGGCAGTAAGCGCCATTTTGGCAGTAAGTGTCGCACGCGTCATCTGGCGTGATAGCCTTGTGAAAATCGCGGACACGAAAATCATAGAGATAGATACACAGTGAGACATCTGGTATGATCTATAATCTATGATTAAGCCAAGTAATCGACACGTTAGTGTCGTTAGTGTAGGTTCGATCAAATTTCTTCAAAAATATGGCACATCGTCTGCCAATCTTTAGCAATTCTGTATTATTATTATTAAGACTTATTTACAAACAATAACCCTTCAGCCTACGCTGCTTTTAAAGGGGTTGTTTGCATAAAAGAAAGTACAAAATAAATATTTACAAAATATTATAAGTATTTACAAAATAGTGTAATTGACTAGGAGTCTTTACAATTGGATATTTTATCAACGTAGGTGATTGTTCAGCTTAGTTTTAAAAGAATGTATCGTCAACTGTTCGTGAACGTCTAAGATTTCGTTAGGTAATGAGTTCCAGGCGGAAGCTCCTCGATATGAAAATGACTTTTTCATAAATGATCTATTAGGTTTATCGAGAGTTAGTTTCCGCCCGTTGCTCCGCATGTGGTGACTTCTATTATCACAGTAGGAGAACATATTACAGATGCACTCCGGCGCTATACCTCGGATAGCCTTAAACGTAATTAGAAATTCTCTTTTTTTAAGAATGTTATCTATTGGATGCCAACCTAGACTCTGGAGGATTGTTTTTGATCTTGTTTCATAGTTTAATCCAGTAATTATACGAGCGGCTCGCTTTTGTAATTTATAAAGTTTTTCCAAATTCGTTTTGTTTCCATCGTTCCAAACTGTCGAACAGTATGTAAAGTAAGGAACTACCAGGGAATTGTAAATACGGAGTAAGTCGTTGTAAGGTACGTGTGGGTTTGCCTTCCTAAGCAGAGCTATTGCACTCATTAATGTGTTCAGTCCACCTTAGTTCGTTATCAATTGTAATACCTAAGGGGTTTTTTTGCTTAACTTGTTTAATAATGGATCCGTTTATATGTATACGAATATCAGTGCGAAATTGATTAAGTTTTCTTTTTGAGGCTATCAACATAAATTCTTTTTTGTCTGTGTTCAATGTCAACCTATTTGCTTCTAACCAGTCGTTAACACTGGATAAGTCAGCGTTTAGTTTGTGCTCAATTTCGGCTGGGGTCCTTCCTGTGCATGATAGATTGGTGTCATCAGCAAACATGGATGCTTGTGTGTACTCAAGGCACATTGGTAAATCATTTATGTACAATGAGAATAGCAATGGTCCCAGATTGGAACCCTGTGGTACTCCACATTGAACTGTTTCTTGGCCTGACTTGTTATTATTAATGACACAAACTTGTTTTCTGTTGTTTAAGTAAGATGCTAGTAATTTTAGAGGAGTACCCTTTATACCATATTGGTATAGCTTTTGTAGGAGAATAGAATGATCGACCGTGTCAAACGCTTTTTTAAGATCCAAAAATAGCACTCCATTTGCCATTCCTTTATCCATGTTGAGTAGCCATTGATCTGTGCATTTTAATAGGGCAGTTTCTGTAGAATGATTTGGTCTAAAGCCAAATTGCTGTTTACAAATGATGTCCTTGTCATTGATATATGAACTTAATTGGTTGTATATAATCTTTTCAAGGATTTTGGCGACAGTAGGAATTACAGATATAGGCCGGTAGTTTCCGCATTCCGCCTTGTCACCTTCTTTATGAATAGGTATTATTTTAGCAAGTTTTAAATCGTCTGGGAAAATGCCAGTGCCCAGTACAAGGTTGAAGATATGTAGTAAGGAGTCGTGAATGGCATCTCCTGCTAGTTTAATTAGTTTAATTGGCATTTTGTCTAGACCTGGGGCCTTGTTTAAGTTAGTTTTCCCAATTTTTTGAATTAATTCTGTCGTTGTTATTGTTCTTAAGTTAAATTCAGATCTACAAGGCTGAATAGGTTGTATAGGGTCTATGTCTGTAGGAGAAATAACGGAAGCAAGTTTGGGTCCAATTTCTACAAAGTAGTTATTAATTGTATTTGCTATGTTGATATCACCTGTAATATTTTGGTCTCCAAATTTAATGTTATTGATCGTCTGAGTTTTGACCGTTTTGTGGTTTAGCAGTTTGTTTATGTGAATCCAGTTTTCTTTGCAATTTTTGCTGTTTTCGAGATTGGTTCTAAAGTAGTGAGTTTTTGCATTGCTAATAAGTTTGGTTACTTTGTTTTTACATTTTTTGTATGAACTATGAAAGGCAGAGGAATTTAACATGACTGCTTTCTTTTTTAAGTAGTCTCTGTGAAAGCTCAGTTTTTTAATTTCATCAGTCATCCACGGTTGTCGGTCACTTCTCACTTTTCTCGATCGTATAGGAGCATTTATGTCAGCTATCAGTAGAAAAATTCTGTTCCATTCCTGTAGGGCCGTATTTGGATCTGAATGTTCATTAATATGTAGTAAAGCTTGTTTTAAATCGTTTTGGAATTTCGCATTATTTAGTTTATGGTATTGCCTTGTTTCAATAATTTTGGGTTTTTGTTTACATATTCCGACCTTTCTACAAGTGTAGACTAGGTTGTGGTCGCTTATACCTAGCTCAACAACGTCCGTTGTAGCGGTTTTTGGGTCGTCAGTTTTACAAATTATTAAATCTAAGAGCGTCTTCGTTGATTCTGTTGTTCTAGTAGGCTTTTTAATAACTTGAGACAATTGATATGTGTTTAGTAATTCTTTAAGCCTTTTTGCCTTACTATTATCGGTCTCACTGGGCATTAAATCTATATTAAAGTCTCCAGTTATTATAATTTCTTTATTTTCTTTGTCAATGTTTTGAAGAAAGATTTCAAAAGAGTCGAGAATCTCAGAATTGGAGTTTGGTGGTCGGTACCACGTCGAAATGAGTATTGGCTTGGCATTCGGCTTTCTTACTTCGATACATACTGCCTATACATTTTCAGGGATTATTGTTGACCTCTCCACGTATGGTATGGTATTACGTATGTATATTGCTACAGCCCCACCGCGTCTATTTCTGTCACGTCTTGTTAAGTCGTATCCCTGAAGTCCTATTTCTGAGTTCTTAATTGTTTTGTCAATTCTTGTTTCATTAATACATAGTATGTCAAAGTTCATTTCTGTTATGAGAATCCTGAGTTCATCAATATGTTTAGTCAGACTGGTAATATTTAACTGCGCAATTGAAAAGCCCTTAAGTTTTGGATATAGTTTGCTTTGGTTATCCGTTGATACTGCACCGGAGTTTCTAATAGGTTCTTGCATCATTAGGTTTTGTGTATTAACATTTAGTCAATTTTGATTACTTACATACAGTTTGAAGTTCTTAGCTAGGACCGTCGAACCTCTTGGGTTTAAGTGGAGTCCATAGTTATTTAAATGATCTTTCTTTATATTAGAGTTCTTAATTAACCCCCAATTTCGCTCAGTACAAAGGTTAGCTAGAAGTTCATTATAAATATTTACCTTGTCCGCTAGAGTTTCATCGTCACATCTGGTTATAATCTCTGATAATGTCAGTTTAACATCTTTACTCTCCGTAATCATTTCTCCAAGATTGTCTACCGTTTTAAGTAGGGTACTGGATGACTTGTTTTTCAAGTCATTTGTACTGATATGTAAAATGACTTCAGCTGGATTCGAGGCTAGAGTTGGCTTCACGTAATGAGTCATATCTTCTACATGCGCACCCGGGAATGTTTTTACAATGACTTTTTGTTTAAGGCCATGTTGAAGTTTTCTTGAGTTTATACCTTTAATCATTGAATCTCCCAGGATAGCAATCTTTCGCTGTTTTGCGAGTATTTTCTAAATAAATTTTGGCAGTTAAGGCGGATAAAAGCGACGAGAAGCTTCAAAGAATGGAAGGTTTTACAAGCAGAAGCGACAGTGATGTAGACGTCGTGAATCTATCATTTGGCCAAATGGGATGTTTTGACTATATACACACGCATTTAAATAGCTACACTGTGTGAAAGACAAATATAAATGGAATAAATTTCGTGGATAAGCCGCATGCCTGACATACGACGTGTTATATAAAAACGTATTTCTCTGTTTTAGAATTTAGTATGTAAATTAATTGGTGAATCTGTTTCTGTTTATAAATCAATGTATGCTTGTTTGTTCAGTATTCACTGTTTTTGTGAAGTAGTTAAAGACTTTAATCATAATATTGATCTGGTATAAATGATATATCAATATAATTTGGCTTGTGGCTTCCGCGATCTTGGAAAGTTAGTCCGGAGGTCTTTCCGTTCGTTTCCCGCCAATTTTGAAAGGCCTGCGGAGGAGGGAGATTTTTTTCTATGTTTTTGGTGTTCCTGTACCTTTTTCAAATTTTCTCAGCTAGTTTTTTTGCTCAAAACTTGTCAAGACAAGTGCATTTTAATATATCCCACTTGCGTGTGCATTATAACCAATATTAATGCACTGTGGTCTGTGGCACTGCATTGGTTTTTTGTGCATTTTTCCCCCGTTTCGGTTCTGCTTTTTATCCAAAAATATACACAAAACTATAAACTTTTTGAAGGAAGAAAGAATAAACCGAAGGATTCTATGTAAAGTTATTTAGGTGTAAAATTAGCCAGCTTGGGATTCGTCGAATGTGTTTTTGTCTTGACTAGTTTGGCAAAAGCAAGGTGGCAGAGAAAAACTTTAAAAAGATACAGGAATACAAAAAACATAGAAAAAAGCTACAAAAATTGAACAAATGTGATTTAGAAAGTACCTTCAATGCTTCTGAAGCACTGAAAATGCACGTTAACAAATTGGTTTGTGTATCGCTGTTTATTTTCATTTCCAGTATTTTGAACAGTTTTTCGCAACTTCAACATTAAAATTTTGCATTGTTTTTGCTCGTTCGCCCGCCAAAAAATTCAAGCTGATAGCTTGTTGCATGTCGCTTAGCGACAAGTGAAAGCATGCGTGTGATGTTACTGATTACATGTTAGGAGAAATTCAAAGTCAATCCTTTGAATAAAATTGTTTATCACGTAATATCATTTTCATGTTGCTCAAATAATTTCTATTCATGTATCACCATGATGTCGGGCAATTTCCATCAATAATACTCGAAGAAACTTATTATTATTATTATTATCATTATCATTTGTGGAAAGGACTTTGCTTCACAAGGCCGTCATACATGGCGCTGTAAAAATAAGGTTGAGTTTGACCAAACATCAGAGCAAAATAAAGTTCCTGCTGTTGAAATTCGTACTCAAGAATGTTTACCAGCCAGTTCATATAAAGTTGTCAAATGTTGTTGCGGTAAAGTGTGTAAAGGCGCTCGTGGTTTAAAGATGCATCAACGTAGCTGTAAAGTAATTGATGACGTGGAGGAGGAATTACAACAACAAATGACTGATGCTTTAAATGAACAAATATGCGATGACAATGTTCAATCAGCAGAGGATGCAGTTCCGAGTCTAAACGCCCAAGAAATCTATCCTGATTTAAAGAAAGGAATAAAATTGCCAAATCGCCATTACAATGGTCTACTGCTAACGACTTTTTTCAACTCACTTTTTCAAATTACCCAGTCACAACCCAAGAAATCAAAAAATGTATCAATACCATGGCAACAGTGATATACAATTACTTCAGTGATAATTATGGATTTGTTGACGCCAACAATAACAACGAATTTGAATCAAAATATAAGTCATGTTCGGCTAAGGAGCTTAAAAAAGTATTAAAAAATTTAAAGTGCAAAAACGGTGATCTGAAAGAAATCAAATTTGTTGCTAAAAAGCTGCGTTGTCTTCTTAGTAAAAATAACACCGACCTACAACATGCTGATGTCAACGCGTCAGATAACATTGATCACGACAAGTTATTCAATAATAATTTCTGGGGTTACGTCAAAAATTTCTTAAGAAAAAAACAGAATCGTTTCCAACATTTGGTCTTGCCCAATGTACAGCTTACTTTACTAAGACACTTTCCGCAGTTATTCCAAATAAAACATTCAGCATTCCTAGCTGGATTCCCAAGTTTAATTCCCCAACAACACCATTTAATCTTGACCCTCCGACCTATAATGAGATTACAAATGTCATTCGAAAGATGAAACCGTCTGGTTCACCGTGCCCTCTCGACCAAATATCTGTTATCTGTCTTAAACGCTGCCCATATCTACGTACTTATTTAACTGAAATTATCCATGCTGCCTGGTCATCTGGTATTGTTCCATCAGAATGGAAAAAAGCGTGCACGATATTGATTCACAAAAAAGACGAAACTGACAATCCCGCTAACTTCAGACCAATAACTCTAGAATCTGTTCCGCTCAAAGTTTTTACGTCGTGTCTTCGTAACAAAATTTTCGCTTTCCTATCTGAAAACAATTACATAGAACATGACATCCAGAAAGGTTTTACCCCAAACGTTGCAGGAACTGTTGAACATACAGCCCATAGGGCGCACATAATCAACACAGCCCGTATAAAACAAAGGTCACTTGTAATCACTTTACTCGATCTGAAGAATGCATTCGGTGAACTACATCACAACCTTATTTACAAAGTTCTTCAATATCATCATATACCTGATTCTATAAATGAACTAATCCGGAGTCTTTATACTAACTTCCAAACATCTATCATAACTGAAAAATTCAGTACCCCTTTCATTACCGTCGGCCGTGGCGTTTTACAAGGTGACTGCCTTAGTCCACTCCTTTTCAATATGCCCTTTAATACCTTCGTACAACACATTAAATCTGAATCATTCCTGCAGCTTGGTTTTTGGAAATTTAATAAAACTGGTATTCCGTGTAATCCAATTCATTGGTTCCAGTTTGCAGACGACGCGGCTGTCATTAGTAGCCAAGAAAAAGAAAATCAAATCCTACTCAATCGCTTCTCGGTATGGTGTCAATTGGCCAATATGATTATACGTGTTGACAAGTGCTCTACGTTCGGTATTAAAAAACATCATCTAAATCTGTTCAATATCAACCTAAATTGTTTATTAGCCACCTACTTGTCCCCCGTACCGAAACTGGTGAATCTTTCCGCTACCTTGGTCGTTATTTTAATTACAACATGTCAGATGAAAAACACCAATCGGATATATGTGACTTGTTTAATAATATCATATCTAAAATAGATGAATTACATTTGCACCCCCGAAATAAAATCCTGCTATACAGTCGCTACTTGCTCTCGAAAATCTCATGGGACTTCACAATAACTGATATATCTCAAACATGGGTTTGCGAGACTTTGGACGGTATTGCTACTAAATATATACGAAAAAGGCTCGAACTGCCAATATCTGCAACTTTAAGCAATGTCTATCTCCCTTACAACAAATTTGGTTTAAATGTCATTCTACCTTCAACGAAGTTTATACAGTGCCAAACTGTCTCACGCTTAGCTTTAAAGTCATCGATAAATGAAAATATACGTGAATTATGGTCAATAACAAGCACCAATAGGAACATTCAGTACGACATTTACTCAAACACAAAAGATGTATTGAAGGCATTTAGACAAAAAAACGAACAGCGACTACAAAATAACCTAATGTCACAAGGTTCTTTTTTCTCAAACATCGTGAAAAACTCCACGTTGGCATTCAATTCCCTATGGTCATCGGTTTCATTCAAAACTTCCTAAGAACATATTTAACTTCAGTCTACGTTACATCAACAATTCTTTGCCTACTAGGAAAAACCTAGTTAAATGGGGTCTGTCATCATCTGCTGACTGTTCGTTCTGCTTCTGCCCTGAATCGCTTTTGCACGTAATCTCTGGATGTAAGACATATCTAAACGAAGGGAGATATACATGGCGACATGATTCAGTTTTGAATCTCATTGCGTCCAGCCTTCTCGACGTCGGAAGGTCCAAAATGTATGTAGATCTGCCTGGATTTATTAGCCCATCTGTCATCACTGGTGACGAGTTACGACCAGACCTTCTATTGACAATTGAAAATAAGATTTTGTACATTCTAGAATTAACTGTTGGATTCGAAACAAACCTGAAAACTAACTCAGATCGAAAACATGAAAAATATTTGACTCTAATTACCGATCAGGAAAATATATACGATGAAGTTAAGTTTGTTAATGTATCTATAAGCTCTTTAGGTGTATTTGGTGAATCGACGAATACTTTATTTGATATGCTCCATGATCTGAAGTACGACGAACAACGTATTAAATATGTAAAAAGAAAATAATTGCTACTTGTATTCGCACGTCTTATTATATATTCTGTAGACGAAACAAAGACTGGAACAACCCAGAACTTTTAAACTTTTAACTAAATTTAAAAGATTTTCACCTGTATATATATTTTAGCTTTAAATTCAATTCAAGTGGACATCGATAAGCTACCTTTTATTACGTGATGTTTATCAATGTATATATAGTATATCGTAAATATCTAATAAAAAGTTTCCATTATTATTATTATTATTATTATTATTATTATTATTATTATTATTATTATTATTACTATCCTCTTCATTTGTTCCAGTTTGCCGACGACGCGGCTGTTGTTAGCGGCCAAGAAAAAGAAAACCAAATGCTCCTTAATCGCTTTACAATCTGGTGTCAGTGGGCTCAAATGATAATACGTGTAGACAAATGTTCAACATTTGGCATTAGGAAACAAGTAACCAAATCCATTCAATATCTCCCAAAACTATTTATAAATAACTGTCTTGTACCACGTGTTGACTTGGTAAATCGTTTCGCTACTTAGGTCGCTATTTTGATTTCAACATGTCCGACGAAGATCACAAATCTGAACTATATGACACACTTACTAATATCCTGAATGAAATTGATGATCTACCATTACATCCGAAAAACAAAATTCTCTTATACAGTCGTTATGTGCTTTCCAAAATCTCTTGGCACTTCACTGTTTCTGACATAGGCAAAACCTGGGTTAACGATAAACTAGATAGTATCGCGTCCACGTATATCCGAAAATGGCTTGAACTTCCTATTTCTGCAACCCTTAGTAACGTCCTACTTCTCCACAATAAATTTGGATTAAATATCATTCTACCTTCAACCAAATTCCTTCAATGCCAAACTGTTTCTCGGAAAGCCCTAAAGTCGTCGCCAAATGAAGCGATCAATAACCTTTGGAAGGATACTACAATCACCAAAATGTACAATATGACAAATACAAAAAACACCAAGGACGTATTAAACACCATCAAGAAACAACATGAAGACAAGCTTCAACACCACCTCATTTCACAAGGCTCATTTTTCTCCAATATCATTAAACATTTTACACTCTCATTCAACTCTATATGGTCCTCCGTTCAGAGTAAACTTCCGAAGAATATATTTAACTTCAATATCCGGTATATAAATAACACTCTTCCGACTCGCAAAAACCTTCTGAAATGGGGAATATCACCAACATCCGAATGTTCGTTTTGTTTGAATCCAGAATCACTTCTTCACGTCGTCGCTGGATGCAAGACCTACCTAAATGAAGGACGTTTCACGTGGCGTCATGATTCGGTGCTTAACTTCATAGCATCCATACTTAAATCTGTGAACCATTGTAACCTTTATGCTGACCTTCCTGGCTATATCAGTCCATCTGTTATCACCGGAGTTGAATTGCGCCCTGATCTTTTGATAACACTTGAAAACAAATGTATTTATATACTTGAACTTACCGTCGGATTTGAATCTAATCTCCTCACTAATGCAACTCGAAAAAGACAAAAATATCAAGATCTAATTAACGAACAGCTCAAAAATTATGAAAAAGTGAAATTTGTAAATTTATCGATTAGCTCATTAGGAGTTTTCAGCCACCCGTCGCTAGATTTCACCGAAATGCTGAAAGGATCTAAAGTTTGATGAACAATGTAGAAAGTACTATGTTCGGAAAATTATTAATATATGTGTCAGGTCCTCGTATTATATATTCGGTAAGCGTAACAAAGAATGGGATAACCCACAACTAATGTCATACTAATATTGTTATTATGTAGAGTGTTAATTCAAGTAGACACTTGTAAACTACCTGTAAAGAGAGGTTTATCATTGTAGTGTATATATATATTATTGAAAGTAATAAAGTTTCCATTATTATTATTATTATTATTATTATTATTATAATAAACAAAAAAAAAAAATACAAATACCGGCAATTTGGTTTCATTACAAATCTTTTAAACCCAGTCCATTGGTTCCAGTTCGCTGATGATGCTGCGGTAATAAGCGGTCAAGATTCCGAAAATCAACATCTTTTAAATCGATTCTCGATCTGGTGCCAGTGGTCTAACATGATTGTCAGGGTTGATAAGTGTTCAACATTTGGGATCAGGAAAAGTCTCACAAAATCTATCCAATATTTACCTAAACTTCTGATTAACAATGAATTGATACCTGCCACTAAAATTGGAGAGTCGTTTCGATGCTTGGGGAAATATTTTGACTTCAGTATGTCCGAAAAAGAACACAAACAAGAGCTAATCACTCTCATGGACGACATTATGTCTGAAATTGATCTCAAACCTTTGCACCCAAAAAATAAACTTTTGCTTTATAGTCGTTACCTCCTATCCAAACTTTCCTGGCATTTCACTGTAACCACCTTATCAAAAACCTGGGTCTCTGAAAATATGGATTCTGTGGTGAACAAGTACGTACGTAAATGGCTTGAAATACCTATATCAGGAACTGTATCTAACGTCTACCTTACCAGTAACAAGTTTGGTCTAAATATCTACCCGCCGTCAATTAAGTTTGTTCAGTGCCAAACAGTTGCTCGTAACGCCTTAAAGACCTCTCCAAATCATTCCATAAAAGACCTCCGGAAAACAACATCTGAAAGCAAAAACATTCAGTACGACGTCTACACCTCGACAAAGGAAGTCCTTAAAACTTTTACCTCCGGACAAGAAGACAAACTGCAGAATCATCTGATTTTGCAAGGCTCCTTCTTCTCAAATGTCATTAAGTTTTCACTGTCGAAATTAAACGGTATATGGTCTAAATCCCAATCAAACCTCCCAAAGAACATCTATAACTTCACCATTCGTTACATTAATAACTCACTTCCAACTCGTAAAAACCTTACTAAAAGGGGAATATTGTCCAACTCTGATTGCTCCTTCTGCTTAAACCCTGAAACCCTTTTACACGTAGTTGCTGGATGTCAAACGTACCTCCCACGATTTACATGGAGACATGATTCTGTTCTGAACTTCATAGCACAAACGCTACAACCTGTAAACAACTCCAATCTTTTCGTCGATCTTCCTGGTTATAAAAGCCCATCAATTGTAACTGGTGACACATTCCGCCCAGACCTACTTCTATCTATCAACTCGGATTGTCTCTATATCCTTGAACTTTCTGTTGGCTATGAGTCTAATCTACAAACAAATGTTGATCGGAAAAGAAGAAGATACGAAGATCTCATTACACAGCAAAATAAACAATTTAAGTCCGTAAAATTTGTAAATTTGTCAATTAGTTCTTTAGGCGTTTTCTCAAAAGAATGTCATTCCTTTTTAGATATGTTAACTGATCTAGGTCTTGATAAAAGACACCAATATTTCGCTATCAGGAAAATTATGTCTATCGCGATTAGGACAACATATTATATATTTTGTTGCAGAGATAAAGACTGGTGAAATCCGGAATTAATGAACATTTAAGGATACTAATTATTAACATTGTTACCCGCCCCGACCGGCCACGTACATAAATATACAAAAAGGAGGCACAACTCGGATAATTAGAAACTACGATTTTCCAAGTTTGTGTTCAAATAAAGAATATAAAAGAGAAGAAAAATACACAACAGGCAACAGGATATGCTGCTGAAACCGTTTAAGTAGGTTCTTTTAATTTTAAACTCGTTTACACCATAGAGTTTTTGTCACGAAATACAATTGTTGTATGAATGTTGTTGAAGTTGATTTTTGTTCGTCGCTATATAACAAAACACTTAATGCCTGTTCCCTCGGGAAATAGTTGGTTTTGTTTTCCCTCGAATCTTAATGTTTCCCTCGACTTCGTCTCGGGAAACATTGAGATTCTCGGGAAAACAAAACTAACTATTTCCCTCGGGAGCAAACATTATGCGTATAATATGTAATGCTAAGTAGGTTCAAGGAGTCAATTATAAATTACCAACATTAGTGAGATTTATAATTGTATATATACGTATATAATTTCAATAAAGTTTCCATTATTATTATTATTATTATTATTATTATTATTATTATTATTATTATTATTATTATTATTATTATTATTATTATTATTACTATTATTATTATTATTATTAAATATGTAAGAGAGAAAATAATTGCTACTTGTATTCGCACGTCTTATTATATATTCTGTAGACGGAACAAAGACTGGAACAACCCAGAACTTTTAAACTTTTAACTAAATTTATAAGATTTTCACCTGTATATATATTTTAGCTTTAAATTCAATTCAAGTGGACATCGATAAGCTACCTTTTATTAAGTGAGGTTTATCAATGTATATGTAGTATATCGTAGATATCTAATAAAAAGTTTCCATTATTATTATTATTATTATTATTATTATTATTATTATTATTATTATTATTATTATTATTATTATTATTATTATTATTATTATTATTATTATTATTATTATTATTATTATTATTATTATTATCCCATCCATTGGTTCCAGTTTGCTGATGACGCGGCTGTAATTACTGGCCAAGAATCCGAAAACCAACATCTATTAAATCGATTTTCTATCTGGTGCCAATGGTCCGATATGATTATCCGAGTTGACAAATGCAGTACCTTTGGCATTAAAAAAGCGATCACAAAATCAGTTCAGTACTTGCCAAAACTCCTCATCAGCAATCAACTAATACCAAAAATCACCATTGGAGAATCATTTCAATATTTAGGACGTTACTTTGATTTCCACATGTCGAATGATAATCACAAAACTGAACTAACCACCCTACTTAATGAACTAATGTCTGATATTGACTCAAAGCCACTACACCCCAAAAATAAACTGCTCCTCTACAGTCGCTACGTCTTGTCCAAGTTAGCCTGGCACTTCACCGTCGCAACACTCTCTAAAACATGGGTTACTGAAAATATCGACTCTATTGCCAACAAATATATCCGCAGATGGCTTGAAGTACCAATATCAGGAACACTAAGTACTGTCTTTCTGACAAATAACAAATTTGGCCTGAGTATTTATCCTCCATCTGTAAAATTTATCCAGTGTCAAACAGTCCTCCGAAAAGCTTTAAAATCTTCTCCTAATGAATCAACTTACGACCTGTGGAGAGCAACCAGTAACCATACTAATATCCAATATGACGCTTATAACTCTACTAAGGAAGTTCTCAAAGATTTCCGTTCTGGACACGAAAACAAACTCCTAAACCAATTAACCAGTCAAGGATCCTTTTTCTGCAGCGTCACGAACTTCGCTTTACCTCAGCTTA